TGGCTGTATGGGGATCTGGTCCCAGCCACCTGGACCTTCAAAAGCCATTTGAAAAAAATCCTTCTTTTTTTTCTTTTATTTCACAAACAAAACTATCAGCTTCCTCTTCACTGGTTGACCACCTCCAGAGAAGTGGAATATATCCATCTTGCTAAATATTTTCATCCTCACCCTTCACACTGGCCCTTGCCCTCAGCCAGCTGCGGTTAATTCTTCGGTGCATGTATGCCTGTGAAGCTCACGCATCAGCTGTGTCATAATCAGCTTCAGGGAATCAAATCAAAACATTTTCTGCCTTTCAGGTAATGGTTGTCACGTGTCATCATTTTGGGGTTACTGCATGAAAGCCTGGCCTCAGACTAGTCCCCTTGCTCAGACTTATAGCTCTTCGAAGATCCCAGCCCTGAAGTGGTCAGTGAGCTGCCGGGCCAGCAGTAGGGCCAGCACAGCCCCGCTGTCTACAAGTATGGACCAGTGTACTGTTCACCCTCCCGAACATCAGCTTCCTCCTCACTCCAAAGCTCCTCTTCAGCTCCCCCCTAGCCGCCATTTAAATCCAAGATGGTAGAGAAGCAAGCAGCCTTGTGAACTGACAGATTATGTTCAGAGGTAACACAGGCTGGCTATGTTATATATGTCTCCCTTCGTGGACATCGATGTCACGAGGTTGTGAAAAATTCAAACTTAATGGGATAGGCTCAGAGGTTAAGTACACTTGCTGCTCTTCCAGAAGGCCTGAGTTCAGTTGCCAGAACCGCAGAGCAGTTCACAACTGCCAGCAATGTTATATGGAGGGAATCTAGCCTCTGCAGGTGTATACACATCTGCATGCCTGTGTACACACACACACAAATAAATAGATAGTAAAATTAAATCTTTAAAATTAATGCGACAAATGTACACAAGCCCCTCACTTGAAATCTGCATCTCTCTAGCCACCATGGGCAGAGCAAACCCAACACCCCAGCGGGCCACACCTGGAACAGCAGGATGAAGCGGGCCAACTCTGAGCTTTCCTGGCTTCCACAGGTCAGCCTAGATCTGCACAGTGGTTCCGGGCAGTTAAAAATAGCACAGGCAGCTGATCTGAGCTCGGTTAATGGAATACCCAAGTTAATTTTAGCATGAGAGAGCTCAGGAGAATCTCATGCCAAGGACCACATTTGGCCCACAAGGTATGTTCTTAAACGCAGGCCCTGAAACTACTGTATCACAAAGGCTACTGCTATGACTCACAAAACACAACACCTCTTCTCTCTGAACCCAGCCTTGGCCAGCCCATAACAACTGGGTTAACCCATAAAGCACAACTGCCCCCTGCAGGTCCATGGTCTGCTGTGGCCCACAGTAGCCCTGGTGTCAACACACTGTGGCCAGTGAAGATGGCAGCTTTGCTCAGTGAGCTAACTGGAGCCCTGAGCTTCCAGCCCCTAATCTAGGGCTTTGTCACTTGCTGCCTAGCTGACCAGCCAGACACACCCTGCTTGCTCCCATCTTTCACTTCTGCCCATCCTCATTTCACTGGTTCCTCCTGCTTCTGGTTAGATGTTGTTATCAGCAGAAAGGCAAGAGAGAGCAGTGAGGGAGAGCACTGAAGGCCAGAGAGAAGCTCTGGTCCACAGCCACCCAAGCCTGCTGGATGGGAGGAGCTGCCATTTGTATGCTCAGTTTGCCACTGCACTTCTCCACAGTCACGTTCTAAGCTCAGAGCAAGAACACAGAGCCTTGGCGAGGGTGCAGAGCGGATGCTGTGATACCCAGGCAGAAAGACTGGAGTCACCAAGAGCTCAGCGGAAAAGCAGGAAGCAGAGCCTGGCTTCCTAGGGACCCAGGGAGCTCAAAAGGAGCTAAATGGAAAGAAGGTGAGCAAAGCCATCCATAATAGTGCAAGAGAACATTTCTGGTCTGGGAACGCAAAGCCAGAGTGTTACATTTTTATTTATTACTTGACAGATGATAATTACCTCAATGCACTCAACATTTTTACCAAGAGAGCAGTTTTAAAACAAGTAATAAATATTATGCAAAAGTAAAACATGTCTGGCAAGTAAAGCTATATCGCAGCCCTAGGGAACACCAAGCCCAAAATAGCATTGCTGGGCAGATGAGCTCTGGCCACAGCTATTCGCCCAATCACAGACCAGCGCCAGCTCTAGAGAGTTGGGCTACATACTTCCTCAATACAGCAGCCTCAAGGAAGCATGGGTCAGTCACATGTGATGGCTGAAGATGGCTGTAACAAAGCAGTAATTGTTACCAAAGACACTTAAGATTCTAAGTGCACGGAAGAACAAGAACACGTCCAAATGACCGTGCAAAATTGAAACGGAGAAGCAGCACATTCTTCTAGACAAGACTTGAAATGGTTTTTTAATTACCATTATTAAGATACTTCACTTTCATGTGGCTTTTTCTTCTGTATAAGCAAAGTGTAGATAGAATGAGAAAGAGGAAGAAAAACAGAGAGATTCATTTCTGATGAACCAAGTACCATCTTATGTTCTAAAAACCAAGAAGTATAGGCCAAACCTCCTAACATTAGTCCCTTCCCTAAGTTCTTAGCAACAACAGTGATCCTGGCGTTTGTCTGTGTGATCTGAGGAGCAGTTGTCTCTCCTTCCTTCTCGGGGTGGGGGAGGGTACTGACTAGGACAGATCAGAGCCTTGTGCGTTCCCACCGGATGCAGCCCACATGGACTCCTGCTTTATTCAGATGGGGAAATGGCTGTGACAAGAAAGAGACACATCTAGGTCACTCTGTAAGTCACCAGCAGGCTTTCAGGAAGCCAGTGTGCTTCGGTGGGTCAACACTTCTGCCCTCAAGTCAACTACACTGTCACAGCCAGTGACACTCAGGCAGATGCAAATCTTAGAGTGACCTGACCACAAACCAGAACTGCAAATGGAAACCCAGTCAGCCGACACTCTGGGGGCCCTGCATACCACCCACCTTGCTTGGAGTCCCATTTTTCCGATCGGATTTCCCTGGGGACCCCAGGGGTATCGACAAGCAGGGCAGCTAGGCATCACCAAACCCAAACCAGTCACCAACAGCTGTTTCCTGGGCTCCAAAAGGCTAATCCAACACAGTCACATCTGGGATCAGAAACAGCGGACAAGATCTATATGCAGAGCTATGTGCCCGCATACTCCATCCGGGAGCACACAGCCATCCCTCCTGACCAGCCCTGCTGGACCTTCGAGAAAAATGATGAGGAAAGATGAGCCCCTTGGAGACAGGGTACGTTTAGGGAGGCAGTGGGAGCCTGGATACCTCTATGCAACCTCACTGCCACCATCCTAAACATTTGAGTGTTGCCCAGCCCCCTAGGTAGTGAGAGGCAACGAAGGCTCCAGTCAGACCCTTATTCAAGGCATAGCAACGGAGAGGAGACCTTATGACTTGCCCCCCACTGCTGCTCCTCTAGGGAAGACCTCACGCTGGCAGACAGGTTGGGCTGTTGTCTTAGGTATCGGAGCCTTTCCTTTCCTCTTGTCTTATTTACTATACCATTCTGGAAAAGAAATCCTCTTTGTTTGACTGGAACTAAAACCCTGCCCTGTGTGCACAGCAGCCAATGGTAGGACTGAGCTAGGCACACCATGTTGAACAGGAAAGTCTTGGACCCCTGTTACCAACTGCCCTGAAGACCCTGATTCTCCCCTAGGAGTATTCCACATCAACCTCCCCCTCCTTGAGTAGAGGGGCACGGCAGCCCTGGAGCCGGGTGGACTCACTTGGTGAGATGATCTTAGCTGAAGGGAACTGAAGCTGGCCACTCTCACACAAGTGGTCTTTGCTTGCCCACAGAGGACGGAAGGCAGCCTCTTTCCTCAGATAGAAACTGACAGCAATTCCAGGCACAAAAGCAAGAGAAAGCCCTCCCATGCCCTCTGCTCCAGCCCAGGCACCACATGCTATCTGCAGCACTTCTGAATCAAAGATCAAACTGTCTCGGCGATGATTCAAAATCAAAATAAAGCAGACAGGAAGCAACACGCTGATTGCGAGTAGCTGGCATTCCTCAGACAGCATCGGATGTCATCAACAACTGACACTCGGGGTTGGGTTGGGGCTGTGACTGTTGCCACCCACTAGGGGCCTTTTCACATGGGAACGGGCCAGTAATGTGGGGCGCAGTTCAGAGGGGAAAGACTGCAGGAAGAGCGCGCTAGGACCCAGAATTCCTTCCAAGAAAACTGGCCTTGCCCAATGCGTTAATGATTTGATGTGTAACGGTCACTTCAGAAAACCTCTGTAAGGAAGTAGGCTCACACATCATTCACAAGATTATAAAAAATAAAAAAAATAAAATTAAAAAAAAACCACCCAATGACTGGGAAAGGCAAAATCTTCAAGTTGAAAAAAAAAAAAATCAGGAAGTCCTCTTCAGAACACTCCAAGCTCTGCTTCGCTCCCTGCCCCCAGCGTTGCTGCCGAAGTCCGGACCAGCCTAGCGCAGCCTGAATGCCAGGCCTGTGGGCCACAGCTCCCACGGCCAGTTCTCAATGAAAGGAGGGGGAGGTGCTGGCGGCTCCATCACCACGCCTGCACCGCGCAGACACACACACACACACACACACACACACACACACACACAAGCGCGCGCACGGCCTCGAAGCCTGCAGCACCGCACAGCCGAGAGGGTGAAGGGGCGCCCCCTCCTTGGGAAGGAAGTTTCTGCGCACAATTGTGAAGGGGACACCGGGAGACTGACATCAGTAGATCCCTGAAGAGGGGGCACCCAGAAGGATCGGCGCGTGCTCGTGCATGTAAACTCAGGCACCCGAGACCGGAGTGGTCCTGCGCACACGGACACACGCAGGCAGCCACCCGCGCCCACGCACACAAACAGTCGCCCCCTGATGCAGGTCCCGCCTCCCCCGCAGTACCACGGGGAACCGGCCGTCTGGGCCGGGAAGCATGAGGAGCCGGGCCAACCGGGCCAGATCCCAGGAGCAAGGGTCTGGGGAGCTGCCCACGCCAGCACGGTTCTCACCGATCTTGATCCTCACGCTCTGGAAGACCCGCAGCCCCTCTTCCTCCACCGCCATGCTGCTGGTCGACCTCGCCGACGCGCGAGGGCTCGGCAGCGCGGCCGCAGGAAGGGCGCAGGACAGGCGGACGAGGGCCGCAGACGGAGCCGAGCGGCGGATGCCCCCGGAGCCCCGCGCGCTGCGGTCCGCGCTCTGCCCGGGTACACCGCCTCGCGCCCTTCCATTGGCAGAGCTCGGGGGCGGGGAGGTGGGCGCCTTCCTCTGCCAGACCCCCGATCTTCATTGGCTAAGGCTCTGCATGGGGTGGGGCAGTGCGACTCCGCCCACTGACAAATACTGTATCCCATTGGTCGGGTCTGTAAGGGGGCGGAGTCGGACTCTAAGGCGGGATCGGAAGGGACTCTACCGAGGGCACCAGAAGCGGTCCTTGTTCTCTTGGTCCTCACTAGTGGTCTCGTCCCTCTGGACCTGGGACAAAGAGAGGGTACTGAGTTTCGATCTCAGTTTTAACTGCCAGGTCACATGAGACCGACTCTCACTTAAAATTTTAAAAGGTATATTCAAGCAAAAGCTATGAAAGGAAGCTGGACCCCAGCTTCAGCGACTAAGAGAAGTGACACCTGGCCATCCTTCGGAGAAATTAGCATCTCAGGACCTTCATACCTGAGGCTTACTGGCAATTTGTGGAATTGCTGGGTCTCAGAAGCGATGATGTGTGGTCCTGTCCTGATCTTTCCACTAAGTTTTTCCTGCAGCTGGGCTAACTCCCAGCTTTCCGAAGGGCAAGAGCTCCAGGCTCCTCTGCTCCCTGTAGCAGCGGCAGAAGCGTCTGCCACAGACTTGGGCCAGGTGGGTGGGGCATGGTGGCAGCCTCAGCAGTGGGCTTCAGGGAGGCCCTTCCCTGGGCAGTGAAAGCTGGGAAGGAGACCTGTGGGAAGAGCACACTGCCTTCGGGAGGCCTGAAACCGAACTGGCATTGGCTGTGGAGTCAGGAAGCTAGATCCTTGATACACCAACTGAAAGAAAAGTGTGACTCGAAAGCTGCTTGCTGCTATTTGGTAGCTACTTCTATAGAAACAGAAATATACTGCACAGGCTAGGACGGTCAGACCTTTCCACGACGGCTAGAGCTTCTAATCCCAAGGTCATTATGCTTCTGTGAAATGTGGACTTGTGAAGCCAAAAGAAAAAGAAAAAGAAAAAAAAACTATCCCTGCATAGGATTGGCTTACAGTGGACCAAACGAACACTCATCTTCATGAAAGTATCATTGGGCAGAATGTGAAGTTTGTGTAAGCAAACACCATACAAGCCTTCAGCATGTAGACCAAGAGCTACCCCTGCTGGGAAGGCCAATCAGGGTATCAGGATGGAAGGTAAAAGGTGGTAACATCCCAAAACAGAGACCAGTGCTGCCCCTGGGGACGATGCATTCCAGCAGACATGTCCCGAGGAGCCAGGGAGATTTTGAAGGGGAACAAGAAATGGCCACAGACTCAAGCCACTAGCCATCCTGCTGCCGCTCTGCTACCAGGACAGATCTCCCGCCCAGGCTGCCATGAGCTGTTTCTCCTCTCCCTGCTCCGGAGGGAGTTGTAGTCAGTCTGCAGCCTCTTTGAATAGCTTGTCTCCACACATTCACAGCCCTGTCTTGCACTACCTCAGCCTAATTCATGGGTTGACACTGGTTAACAAAACGTTGACAGGTTGGGGGAGAGAGCCAGGCTTTGCTGAGACACGCTCAGAGCATCTGGAAGCAAGTTAGCAGAGTCGAGAAGGCTGCTTGCTGGGCCTTCCAGGTACCCAGAGGCCCCAGGGACATCAGGAAATTCCTCACAAACAAGGATGAACAGTTGTTTCCTTCCCGCTCTCCTCTGTGAAGAAGGGCCTGAGGCCAGCAGGCTTGTTGTGAAATTGGAGTCACTTCTCTGGCCATCTCTAGAAGGATATAGAAAGCTGAAAAGTTGGAGGTGGACATGGAAGAGAGCCCTGTGGGCAGCTCAGGCTATAAGGCAAATAAGCATGCTATCTCCAGGCTCTGAAGGGAACAGCCATGGGAACCATGCATGGTATAGAAAACAGCCTTCCGTCTGGCTCAGCCCTAGTAGAGCCATGTAGCCATAAGGCCATCACTTGGCCATCATGAGTTGGGATCTATGATACTCACCAGGGGTGCCAGGCAGACCCAGATGCCATGCATCCTAGGCTGCAGATGGCACTGAGCAAGGCTGGGGCACAAGCTATTATGCCAGCTTGTGACATAATGAACTGGTTCTTGGTCTGTTCTACCTGAAACTGAGAGGCCTCCACCGCGTAAGCATCCCAGTAACCAAGCACCTGTGTCTCAAGTTCTTGTCCCTGGACCCTCTACAAACTTGGCATCTGATGTTCATCATCCTTACCATATGACAGAACTTAGAGGAAAACCTTGTGCCACACACATATGTCACAAGACTCTCTGGAGAACCCAAAGGAGCTCTAAGGACACCAGGGGTAGCTCTCAAGGCTGCCCCGCTCACTATCTGCTGTGCTTAACCAGACAAGCAAGTCGGTCATACCCAGGATAGACCCCCTTCCCCTTGTGAAGCATAGGCGACTTTGTGGCCTGTCTTAGCATATCCCACCAAAGACTGTGTGGACCTTGGTGTTGAGTAACAGTTTTCTCCAAAACGGAAACATTCCATCCTGCAGGGAAGCACCTTAAAAAGAAGGGAAACAACTCAAAATAGCCTCAAGAAGTCCCTGAAACCAACCAGACTCACTGCGCCCCTCCCTGCTGGAGTGAGAAATGAAGCTGAAGATCGGTCTCAGAGGAACAGAGCCAAGCTGCAGGGAAGGCTCTGAGACCAGACAAGCTGACTGCAGAGGCAGTCACCAGCAGAGCTGCCTGGAAGGGGTTTAGACTCACATAGAAAGGAACTTTTCTACCTGTTGAGCTGCCTGCAAACTGCTCAATGAGCTCCAAGTTCTCAGCTTTGTGAGCTGGGGTAGAACAATGAATGCAAGGAATGTCCCAAACTATTGCTGAACGCTGCTGAAATCAAGAGGGGGGAAAAAAAAAGATGTTATCAATGTGAGCTGTCATCCTTGCTGGGGTAGGCTTTGGTGATACCGCTGTCTTTAAGTCATTTCTGCTTCTGTAAGGGACCCCTCACCCATAACCCTAAAAGTAACCCCAATAAAACCCATAGTTCACCAATCTGGACTTTGAAGGTATACCTACTTTAGTGTGTTGTAGACTCCCTACCTTGGGTGAGTAGGGGTGTGCTGTGTGTGTGTGTGTGTGTGTGTGTGTGTATGTGTGTGTGTGTTTGTTGTGTCTCCCCCAAAAAGTGTCATCACACAACATTGGTCTCCCCAGTCAGTGGTCTCCCCAATCAGCTTTAAATCAGTGGTTCCCACCCTTCCTAAGGCTGCATCTCTTTAATACAGCTCCTCATGCTGTGTGACCCCAACCATAAATTTTTTTTTGTTGCTACTTCATAACTGTAACTTTGCTGCTGTTGTGAAGCATAATGTAGATATCTGATGTGCAGGCATCTTAGGAGAGCCCTGTGGATGGGTTGTTCAGCTCCCAGAGAGAAATCAGAGCCTCCCGGATCCTTGGGTGACCATCACGCCTGAGTGGGCCTACCTGCTGAAAGAGCAGCTGCAGCTGTGGATGCCTCTGCCGGTGAGAATGAGTTTCACTGTGCAGAGCATTGAAATGCAGACATTATCAGCATAGCAGGCCCTGGCTCCCTGAGACAGACCTTTCCACAAGCCAGCACCTTTGCCTTGAGCTGGGAGGAGCAGAACTCGTGTCCCCAAGGGCAAACCCTTGTGGTATGGTATGCATGTCTCTATGGTGACCATAAAAACGTTCTCTCGGGATGCCCATATGGTTTCCATCTTAATGAAATTAGCTTGATATTTTTACCCTAATTAGCCAAATAGCTTTTGAAATTGCTGAAAAGAGCAGTTAACTAGACCTTATGTCCTACCTCCTTAACAACAGCCGGGAAGTATTTTTATCCCATTTAAATTCTGTATGAAATTACCCAAAGGAGTTTAAAATGCATGATAGAGGTTAGGAAAGGAACTTCCTGTCAGAGCCCCACCCGAGCTTAAAGCAGCGCAAGGACTCCAGAGCTATAGGAAGTCCTGGGTAGACAGGCAGGTGTTTCCTGTCCAAGGTGCCCGAGGTAGAACAATAAATGCAAGGAATGTCCCAAACTATTGCTGAACGCTGCTGAAATCAAGAGGGGGAAAAAAAAGATGTTATCAATGGCTGGTCAAGGGATCCAGCTGTACAGAAAGAAGAAAAAAAAAAAAACTCTTAAATGGGCAAGAATATACTTGTATATCCACCAATTCGGCACAAGGTTCTTTGCTTCTCCTGGTTCCTTGAAGGTTCTATATGTGTTTATATACACTTGGCTCTGTTTGAAAACTTCTTTACTTAACAAATCCCTTCTAAGCTCTTGGCTGTGTTCAAGATCTGACAGCCTGTGAGACAACAGAGACACCCAGCCAGGCCCAGCCCCAGTTCTTGCTCCCATGTGGTTCCCTGGGTGCTAGTGAGTTTTCCCTCTTCAGAGGGACAGGAGGTCTGTAGAAAGAGACTATAGGCATGCAGAGACATTCTGTGCACAACCACTGTGAACACTCTGTGGTAGAATCCAAGCCTGTGTTCTTATAGAAAATAGCACTAGCCATGCTGGGGCCTGACACATCCCTTCCCCTCCCTCAGCTTGGGCTGCTCTGCTCTGAGTGGAGGTTGGCTGGCTGAGGAGGACACACCTCACAGACTTCACTCTCTGGGACCAAGCAAAGAAGAGTGTGAAGCTCCCAGTGCAGGCAGCTGGGTGGTGCCTCTGGAGCTGATAAATTCTGCTTCCCCCTCAAAGCTAGAGCACTTGGCTATGAGAAGTGACGGAAGGTCACTGTCTAGCCACAGTCTGTCACACCCCTCCAATTCTCTTGTCTTCCCATTGGAGGTGAGCATTCCTCTTCTCCCCAGATGATCCCCAAATCTCTGTTAGGCAGATCTCAGGCTGTAAACTGGGACCCAGACCATGGTGTGAGCATCGGGGACAGTGCTGGATCTTTTCCGTGAGAGCCAGGAGTGGCCTCTCTTCCCCTAATGCTGCCATGTGCTAAGCATGGAGCATTTATCGGCCTCACACAG